AAAAAAGTAACTGGCGTTACTTATTTGAAAAAGTAACTCAGATATTTTCTTGTAAATTAAAAAGTAATGCATTACTTTACTAGTTACTTGAAAAAAGTAATCTGATTACATAACTTGCGTTACTTGTAATGCGTTACCCCCAACACTGCACCAGATTCAGCCTAGTGTGTGGATTTATTCACCAAAGAGAATACCAAGAGAGGGTGAAAATATCACACTCGCTGCTCTATTGAGATTACACAGATAAACCGGAAATTCAAATGAACACGAGCCATGTAATCCATTCCCTGTAGTCTGCAACTAATTCTTTAATGTTCAAGATCAAATGATGTGCTCACAAACACACTGTATGACACCACCATGTCTGAGCACTAGCAACTATAAACTGACCAGGCTCAGTCCTACATGAACAAACATTCAGGTACTCCTGACAACAGACTTGATATTTAATAACAACCTTAAGTTCTTTACCTTGAAAATTGCTACTATATATAAAATAAGTATACAAATTAAGCAGAAATGTGACTGTTAAATATGAATTAAATTAAATATGTATTAACATTAATTATGAATACATTTTAAATTAAAAGCTATTGTACCATGTAAATATCTAATAAAAGAGAAAGGTATCTCTCAAGCTTCTTTTTTAGAACTTGATTATTTATTTTATAATCCCATTTTGACTAATTCCTTTATTAATTTGCAATTTAATTAGCTTTTTTTTTTTAAATTTTATTCAGCAACCATGCATTAAATTGATCAAAAGTGACAGTAACAACTTTTACATTGTTAAAAAAAACATCAATCTATTAATAAATGCTGTTCTTTTGAACTTTCCATTCATCAAATAACCCTAAAATAATAATATAAAAAAGTATCAGTTTCCAAAAAAAAAAATTTAAGCAGAACAACTGTTTTCAACTTTGATAATGATAGGAAATATTTATTGAGCATGAAATCAACATATTGGAATGATTTAGCTTTGTCATCAAAGTAATAAAGTAGAGTTTTAAAAAATTAAAACAGAAAACAGTTATTTTTAAATTGTAATAATATTTAGGTTTACTGTATTATTAATCAGATAAATATACATATGTAAATATACTTGCATAAATCAGTCAAGGCATACAAAATATATAATATTAGGTATGAATTGTCTGTTTATTAATTAAAGAAAAACTGAAATTATATATGAAAATATCACACACACAAACATAAAAGGCTAAGCAGAACAAAATATTTTTACTTTTTAAGATTTAGTTAAGATTTCTTCTTTCCTTAGACTAGCCATATATCACCTCCACAGCACTGAAGAATTAAGGTAAGACTAAAAAAATCTCTGTATATTGCACACTATATTAATAACCACTGTCAGTAGCATCTATATAGGAACAGGCCCAGCTGTAGCTGTGGAGCAGACGTAAGCCACACAAGTCTAGGAGGTGCAAAGCTAATGGGGTTCGGACCGCTTGAGACTCTGCTTGTGTGTATGTCTGAGTCTGTTTGTGATCTCAGGTGGCTGCTTAACTGGGGCAGGAAAGTGAGGAGAACATAACTCCCTGCTCACATGTGACACTCAGTTGTGAGGACTGTGTTTACTAGCCACAAGTGCAATGATAAACCAGGTTGACTAGCAAGAGACTTGAAATACAACCTTGTGTAAACTTGAATCTACTCAACTAGAACATTTAGAGTCCAATAATATAAAGCACCTTAGATCTAAAATGCATTTGGATTAATCACTTTGGCATGAATCTTTCCCCATCACATGTATTTATTTTATACCCTAGCTAAGTGACATGCTCCAAACATAAAATATTCCCCTGTGGCTGGAACCCAGATAATGAGCCTCACGAAGCACACCAGATCTCCATGGTTTATTTATCTTGAATGCAGCATAGACGACAGTTAAAAATATACGTTTGCTTTAACCAAACGGTATGTATATTATCACAGGTCATAGGTCTGTTCTGAAAAAAAAAAAAAAATCTCAACAGTGAATTCAACTTGGTAGAAATTACTAGACTAATTAGGCAGATGCTTCACATGGACATGGATATGACCCAGATTACAGGTGAGGGTAAATATGTTAAGGATAATACATGTTTTTTCCAACAACGTTTTGCAAATTACTGATTCCCCAGAGCCTGAAACATTAAGATTCAAAAGACATTTTAAAATTAAATAGTCAAACTATAAAGACAAGCAAATTTAATATTTGGCCCAGTATTTGTTCCATCAAACTTCTACTATTGGTTATGCTTTTACAAAATTTTCCTAGAGTGCAACAGCCGGGTTCTGGAAGTAAAAATGCCATTCATTTTCTTCATAGGGAAACTGATTTTTAGTAATAACAAAAACCATTAAAGACCGACCTATTGCAAACACAGAGGTTTTTAATCGATAGTATATGCTTTTGTTGAAGCCATCAGTTTGCATTATTCCAAATTATGTTTTAAATAGTCTCGTTTAACAGCAGCTAAAAACTTGCTCCAATCAGAAAGGCGCAGCTCCACACCCGATGTAGTTGAATATGTGTATATATATACATACAGGTACATCTCAAAATATTAGAATATCATGAAAAAGGTCAATATTTTTTGTCACTCATTTCAGAAAGTGAAACCCATATATTATATAGATTCATTACACATAGAGTGAAATATTTCAAGCCTTTATTTCTTTCAATTTCTGAAATGAGTGACAAAAAATATTGACCTTTTTCATGATATTCTAGTTTTTTGAGATGTACCGTATATATATATATAGAGAGAGAGAGAGAGAGAGAGAGAGATCAATATATATTGATTCTATATATACGATCAATAACTTTAAATTGACAGTTTTATATTTTTCCGTCATTTTGAATTAGATTATATCATTCACAATGGTTAATAGATGGTACACAGATAAGTGAAGCACTTTTGTCTTTTTGTCCGATTTTCAAATACTTTTTTGCTTTAAACAAAAGTTTGTAATGTTGTGATTCACCTTTTAGTTGGTTGGTTGGTGTTAATGCTTTTTAATGCTTTAACAGGACTTTTTTGAAATCCCTATGGGAAAAACGAATGGAAAAAATACTTCTGGAACTGGAACCAGCACCTCTGAAAAAGAGGGTGAACACACATGCACTCTATTCAGCCCATTTATGCCAATTTTGCATATTGTTGCACCAACGCACATCATAGAGTAATATTAATATCCAATGTTTGAATTTAAGGACTTCTGTATTAAAAACAATTTTGATACAATTTTGCATCACCGTTTAATTTCCCATGAGGCCTAACGCAAAACCAGCTGAGTAAATATTGTTGTGAAACCATGCTCGAGTTTTTGAAAGAATGTCAACTGGATGGCTAATATGAAAATGACAGTAAGTTCATCTGAGTTAAATGTCTAAAATATCTACAGTAAAAGTGTTCCTTTCGAGGCAGTCTGTAATTAGGTGACAGTGTCTTCTGCTCAATTAGACTTTCCCTCACACTTCACCTCCAGCAAAATGGCTACAACCTTTTAGCCAGTGGAGCTAAAATGGCAGACACTTGAGTGTTTTCCATTGATTACTAGACTATGTGACCAGAGCCATTAGAACAAATAAAATCTCATACATTTAATACAGTATCAGCTGCAAGTTTTAGACCATAAGTAATGTATATAATTTGCTATTTGTATATGGAACATTTTATAGTGTTACATAATATACATTGTTAAATATTAGATATAATAACCAATAATACTATTATTATTTTAAGTAATATGGAATAATTATATGGAATAAGCAAAGGACACAAAGGATATGCCTTTGTTCAAAATGTGTCAGTTCAGTCGAGATATGAGGATCTACCTGGCTCTTCCATGTGTGCTATTATCCAGTTAAAGGCCATCTCTGCCCCCATATTCCCAGTGTAGTACACTGCCTTCCGACAGGCTTCCAGAGGGAAGCCCATCTCTGCCAGTTGCATCACGGATGATTCATCTATTTCTGGAGCTGAGGAACAGGTAGAGAATAGTGGCTTTAAATCAACATCAGCAGCCCATAACTAACAATAAATACACAGACCATATTTAAAGTCAACAAGAGAAACTAATGGACCATTTTGAGAGACTTTTAATATTGTTCATCGAATAAGTAATTTTGTAGTGCATGCATACAATTGTAAATATATCAGATGTAATTCTGAATTTACAATCAAAGTGGTACTTACATTCCAAAGAGTTGTTTGTTGTACTGTCTGAATGCAAAAACAAGACAAAGCAAAGCAAAAGGGGATGCTAAATATGCAACTGTGCAAGCAGACTACTTTATATTATATTGCGTTATATAATATTTAAAGAAATTCAAACAATGGCAAAAAAAAAACATAAAAAACTGAGTGATAGTAAGATTTTTTATTTTTAATAAAGTTATTCAGCTCACCAAGGCTGCATTTATTTGATAGTAAAATAGTAAAACAGTAATAATAATGTAAAATATTCTACATTTAAAATAACTCTTTTCAATTTTAATATATTTTAAAAATATAATTAATTCCTATTATGGCAATGTTGATTTTCTTCAGTGTCACATGATCCTTCAGAAATCATTCTAATATGTTGATTTGGTGCTCAAGAATCATTTCTTACTATTAGCAATGCTACTTATTTTTCTGGAAACCAGGATACATGTCTTCAGGATTCAGAAGATTGATTAAATTTGAAATAGAATAGAATTAGAATTAGAAATAGATTTTTTTTGTAACAATGTAAAAGTATTTACTTTTGATTCATTTAATGCATCCTTGCTGAATAAATTAATTTCTATCAAAAAAAAAAAAAAAGTCTAGTCCAAATCTTCTCACCTCTGGTGTCTTCAGGAATGACAATGGGAGGTGTAAGGTCAGGCAGTTCTGCTTCTCCAGCCTGTAGCCCTGTGGCCCGGAGGCGATTCAAGTCCAGGAAATCAGGTACATCTACAGAAACATCTGTAGCACATAAAAAAAGATTTTGAAGGAAATTATATATTACAAAAAGACATACTGTACACTGATACACTCAGAACAGACTCTGGGCATTATTCCTTTCCAAAAACCTTGCCAACATTTTACTGACCACAGAACCTCAAACAGTCATTGATCCCAAAAATTTCTCATGTAAAAAGACAGTGTTAGAGTACCCTCTGCTGGACAAGGGAAAAGCTTCTGCTGAGCAAACATAACACCTTGTAAACTGATAGTGTTTTGAGGCAAGCAATCATGATGCATTGCTCAACATGAATAACACCTGGTGGTCTGAATTGCACAAGAGAGCATGTTATGCAGACACAGACAAACAAGAACATGACATATCAATAAATCTGCTTTGACAGGAGCTGGAGGCACAGAGAAACAAAAATCCTTTCATTAAGATTGGGTAAAAATGGGATGATCCAACATTTTGTACATGCTTTGAATGCTTATGTCATCAATGTGGTAATTTATCTACAACAATGTGAAATCAAATATACAATGTCAAACTAAGAGTTTACCAAAATTACACACCTAACTTTTTGGGCACCCAATCAACCCCAAATGTGAACTTCTTTATTTGCACGATCATGTACTCTGGGAAAGATGCGAAACGAGAAGTCCTGAAGAGAGAGAAAGATATAATCTTTTAGAGCAGGGGTTTATACGTATATTGGGATTTATATACATATACATGGGTTTATCTATATACTGCCGCTCAAAAGTTCTAACATTGGTAATATTAAAATATTAAATGCATATTAAAATGATTTCTGAAGGATCATGTGAAGACTGGAGTAATGACTGATGAAAATTCAGCTTTGCATCACAGGAATAAATTATATTTTAAAGTATACTACAATAGAAAACCATTTTTTTAATTGCAATAATACTTCACAATATTACAGTTTTTTTTCTGTATTTTTGGTCAAAAAAATACAGCCTTGATGAGACACACACAAACACATACACACACACACACACACACATAAATATTATAAAAATTACAAAAATACAATAAAAAGTAATGATAAATATTATAATTAAATGTATATATTAAATAGCATGAAATTGCGTTATTGTAGATGTAATCCCCATGATATTCTTCAAAATTTTGGAGAATGTGTTACAAGTCCTTCGAAGGTCTCAAAACCAGAACCTTGCTTACTTTACTCCGGCCGACTTGGCTTGCAGTGCAGAGCTCCAGAAGTCTGGAACATTCTCAGGCTCAGTGAAGGCTTGCAGACAGGCAGTGAAGGGGATTCGGGCTCTCACCGGCTCTGGAGGGGGCCGCATGTTCTCCTCAGCTTCCTTCCGCTTACTCTCATATGTTATTAACTCCTCTGTACAATCGACAAAACCATATGCAATTAAAACACCATTAGGTCTACCTGCACATTAGATTAAATGAAAAGAGCTAAAATAATATTAAACACAATAAAACAGTATCACCTGACTACATTAAATTTCATCAGTTTTTAGAGTCAGATCATGTAGAAATAGCTCTTTAAATGCAATAAAAAACCCATTTCAACTTTTTATAGTGCAGGAGCGATGTTTAACTCAGTTGTAGAAGGTATTACCTCTGTTGCTGGCAGCCTCTAAGGGTACAGGAAGCTGCATAAGGTAGTCCACCCGCTGTGTGTACCGCACCTTCTGTGTCTGACAGCACTGCACTCGCTCCTCAACTAAGAAGCGGAACACATCGCTGGGGTTCTCTGAGCCTGAACTGTTCCTCTGGAAATGGCAAAACACAAGTTCTTTTCTGTTAGAGCCATGGCACAGTGGGTAACACTGCACATTATAAGAGCTGGTTTGCTCATGGAAAAACAGATTTGAATCCGACCTGTTCACATTCGCCTTTTCTCCTTAACTTTCCTATCTACTTTTCCGGTCCATTAAAGGCAAAAGCTTATAAAAAGTTTTGTTGAGGCACTAAGAACCTTCAAAGACAGACAGCATTTAATACATTAATGAGATAATCCACCCAAAAATGAAAATTATATCATTATTTATTCACCCTTGTGTCGTTCCAAACCTGTATGCAGTTTAATCTTCGGCAGAACACTAAAAAATATATATATATTTTTTGAAGAATGCTGGTAACTAAACAGTTTCGGTACCAATTGACTTCCCATTGTATTTTTTGCCCATATAATGGAAGTCATAGGGAACTGAAACTGTTTGGTTTTCATCATTCGTCAATATCAGATGTTCCACAGAGCAAAAAGTCATACAGGTTTTGAATGCCATACAGATGAGCAAATAATGGCAGGATTTTCATTTTGGGGTGGACTATCCCTTTAACAAGCAAAATTATGACTTAAAACACAATAATGGTCATATAATTAACATTTCTACAAAACAAATGATAAACAAATCAACTTTGTATTTAAATTCAGGCATCTTTAGGGACAGTACAGCATTAGTCCATAATTAAGATCAACAAGGTCATCCTAGGGCAGTTTCGCTATTCTGAGGCCATACAGAAATATACCAGCCCTCCTCTATCAAGTCTGAGATACCAGAGACCACTGAGCAGAGAACAAACCTCCTGAGGATGTAGAAACGCACCGTAAGGTCCCTTCACTGTTCACAGGCCTTATGCTATTTCACACAAGGCACAGCTGAGGGTGGCTACAAATAAACCAGTCAACATTTCTGAGTACCAAACATTTCAAAGAACTATAGCTCTGTCTTGGTTTTATGAGGTTGACCCCACTTGGTTTATATGCTCTGTCAGGACCAAGCAAACGGCAGCAAAGATTAGGTCTTGATCAGTTCATCACTTCAAAATCAAACAACTATATAAATATATCAAGATTTGTAAAGCTTCACATGAAATCTAAATTGACCCTTTTTATTTTCATATTATCTTTATTATTATTATCTCTATTGTGAATGATTCTATCTACTGTATTTTGTGGACAGATCTCTATTGCTAGCTCTATTGAGAATGATTTGTTCTATTATAAACTATTCATCTGTGCATGTTAGTTAAATTATAAAAATGTCACTAGTAGGCATTCCTACTCGACCTCTGTATCTAACTATATTAGGCGGGTGATCATTGCCTGCACTCCCATTGGTAGTTGCTTGTTACATCACATTACTACTTACTCCACCATTCAAACGTTTGGTGTCAGTGAGATTTTTTTAAGAAACTAATACAATTCAGCATGGATGCTTTAAATTGATCAAAAGTTACAATAAAGACAATTATAATGGAAGATTGGTATTTCAAATAAATGTTGTTGTTTTTTACTTTCTATTCATCAAATAATCTTGAAAAAAAACTAAATCACAGTTTCCACAAAAATATCAATCTGTTTTCAACATTGATAATAATATGAAATGTTTCTCGAGCACCAAATCAGCATATCAGAATGATTTCTGAAGGATCATGTGACACTGAAGACTGGAGTACTGACTGCTGAAAATTCTGCTTTGCCATCACTGGAATGAATTACATTTTATAATATAAGAAAACTGGCAATTCTAATTCCAAAAGCAAATCACTCTCAGTGTGAATACTCCTTAATAACCTGCTAACCCTCTGAACTGACTTTCCTTTTCAGCTGATCTCACCAAGCACTTATATTTTCCAAACCCTCCCTCCAGCCACCTGTCATATAGAAGCCTTTTTGCACGATCCAATCAATTCAAAAGTATGTCCCATTGTAGCAGAAAAGGGAATTCTATTGGGAATTCTTAATTATATGCTAATTCCATTTCTTGTTGACATAGTCTAACAGTGCGGCTCCACTGTTGTTTGTTTTTAAGTCACGGAAGTGTCAGGGAAGGCAATGACTTTCATTCTGGACATAGACCAAGTGGGGAGGGTAAGAGGAAGCATTATCAGCCCTGTGTAACCAATAGGGGTATCTAATTTTAACTCAGTTGAGAAAGTCACTTTAAGTATGTGTCTGCCAGAAGAGGGATAGAGTGCAGTCAAATGTGTCTCCTGAAACCAGAGCCTGCTGACAAGACTCAAGGTCTACAAACACGTCTGGGAAAATTCCAGCCAAACCCTAGAAACCCTTGATTCTCTGAAATCATTTTTTTTTTTTAAATAAAAGAAGACTGCAAATGGGATAGTTCACCTAAAAATGAACACTATGTCAGACTTTACTCACCCTGTATCAATCCAAACCCAAATGTACAAAAGGAGTCATCTAGATAAATGTCTATTGCCAAGCTGCTCTTGTTCCGTGAAATGAATGTAATTTATAACCAGTTTTCAGCTTTAAAAAAGTCACATAGGTTTGAAGTGACATGAGGGTGGTTATTTAGAATTTTAATTTTTGTGTGACAGACATGAAATCTTGACAGGCAAGGAAATATTGTGTTTTCCCCCCCAAAAAAAAAAGAAGCACATGAAAGAGAAACACATTCGTACCTCCACCAGGTTAATTAAGTGCAGAAAGAATTCATGAGCATCTTGTTGCCGGTTTGAGGAGAACTCTGGGTGTCCTTTACTGACCAGCGCTTTGAACATCTTAAGTGAAATCCCTCTTTGCTGCTGCTACCGAAAAAAAACAACATGATACATCTAGGCTCAGGGTCACCAAATGCACTTTAAAATGTCATCAGAAAACCTATTAAGAAAGTTGGATCGCAGCATGACATACTTAAACACTCTTAAAAGACCACAAACCTGAACTTTATAGGAAAATGGCAAGCAGCATTTTTTGTTTCATAAAAAAATACAGAAAATTAAGCCCATGTATTCTTTGAACAAGAAATTATTTATATTATTTTGGAAGCATATGAACAATTCTGTAGAAATTCAGCGGACCTCCAAATGGTTATATTTTAGTCATTTATAATGATATTTAAATAAAAAAACACACAAAAACAATGCAGGACACCTAAAACATTAATTTAGCTTACGAAAACAAGCACACCAAAAGTACATTCATGTCTGCAAACCCATGTTGCTGCTCATTTGCTTAAAATTAAACTCTGCTCAACTTTGTTGTATAATCTTGTTTGTTGTGTTCACCTCAATTTGCCAATGAATGACCTCCAGTTATTGCAAAAATGGTCAGTATGACTGTACCTTAAGGTTGTTTCAAATACGTCTGAAATAAGTAACTAGTAGGCACCATGGGTATTGGTCTGACAACTAAGGCAAAATAGCATCTTGTAAGTGTAAACAGAGTTATGTGGACCTAATTGAGCCAAATATCAACAAGACAGACCAAGTCAAATACCTTGTATTCTTCTTTCATCACCTGTTCAATAAGTTCTGATTTCATTGGAGGTTTTGAGTACTGGCCTGAGAGAAGTCCATGACCGAGTTTTGCCCTTAAAAGGTAGGAAAACACACGTTCCAATTTAGATACCATGTCAAAATTACACAATTTAGTAAAGACGTGTTTAAGTGCTGCCATATTATACTTTAAATGAATTATCAACCAATGCAACTGTCATGCAACCAGTAGTAAAGTTATGTATAATATCGCATTGCAATTATCTAAAAAACAAGATAAATGCAACATGATAATTACATTCCATGACAAAAACACCTACATTTGTGTGCCGAAATCCTGAGATGGGTCAAGGGGTGAGTAGTCAAATATTCTCTGTAGGTTCCCAACATACCTGCAGAATAAATATTGGAAAGCAAAGCAATCATTTCTTACTGTCGCACCTGCTTATTGAATTCACTAAGTAAAGAAGCCCCTGGCTAGATCCTTTAAATCTGGCACTGAAATAAAATTGTTGACATACAAAAGAAAACAATAGCAATAAAACTGTTAGAAGGCAGAGTTTAAAGGAACAGTTCTCCCAAAAATCTAAATTTGAAAATGTACTCACCCTCAGGCCATCCAACATGTAGAAGAGTTTGTTTCTTTATTGGAACAGATTTGGAGAAATTTAGCATTTCATCACTTGCTCACCAATGGATCCTCTGCAGTAAATAGATGCCATTAGAATGAGAGTTCAGACTGCTGATAAAAACACGACTCCAGTTGTTCAACTTGCATCTTGTGAAGTGAAAAGCTGCATGTTTGTAAAAAAAAACAAATCCAATGGTGCTTGATCTGTGCATATGTCTCTCCTGATGCAGACAAGATTAATTTTCACTTGAGAAAGTAATATTATTGAAACTAATATTATAATATCTAATATTAGGGAGGACTCATATTTTAGCTGAAAGCAACTGTTTGAAGTTAAAAGCGTCTTGATGATATTATTACAAACATGCAGCCTTTCACTTCACAAGATCTTAATTGATGGACTGGAGTCATGTGGATCACTTGTGGATTAGTGTGATGATTTTTTCAGCTGTTTGGACTCTCATTCTGACGGCACCCATTCACTGCTGAGGATCCATTGGTGAGCAAATGATGTAATGCTAAATTTCTCCAAATCTGTTCTGATGAAGAAACAAACTCATCTTGGCTGGCCAGAAATGTCATTTCTACAGTGTGATAGCATTCAAACTCGGCTTCTTTCTTTGTACACAGACTCAAAGACAATGGTAGGAGAATGTGGACAAGTATGTAGAATGTATTGGGCCATTAAGGATTTTAAGGTACTTACGCTCTCTGGAACTCCGGAATACTGAAAAGCACTTGCATAGTGGTGCTCAGGTAGCAGCTGTTGCCCAGGTTTTTGATGCCCGTGTATCCTGAGCCATAGACAGGCTTTAGCTTTAGACTGGACTCCTGAATCACTTCCCAGTCACTCACACGCGGCTGCACGTGGTTGTCTGTATGATGGCCATTCTCTGTCTGTGAGGGATGGACATAGACATTTGAGGAGATTGGAAGGAGGCAGTGTTGCTTGTTTTTGCTTAATTGTTTAACTATTTAATTAAGTTGAGTTGAGTTGAATATTATATATATTGTTTTTCTCTGCATAGTCAAATATTAAGAAGGTATACTTCTATTTTGAAAATCTGGAAAACTTTGTATTATGTGGAGAAATATATAAATATGGAAAATATAAACAGAAAAACATACCCTTTGCATTTGCAGCATATCTATTCCGAAGTGTAACAAATGTTCTGATATGTGAGGATCAAGCACCGCTTCTTCTTCATCAAAAGAATAAATATCTGCAAAAGAGAGATAGTAACTGAAACATTCGTAAAACCTTCTATAAATAATAAAAACAATGTTTTTTGTCTAAATTATGTTTGAGCCTCTTATGTATTGTGTGTATTGTGTATGTTATACATGTGTACCAAACATATTCCCTGAAAGTCTGTGTGACACATGAAAACCTGTCATTGAGAGACACTTACCTGCTCCATCTGGGGTGATTGTGTCGAGTTTAACTGCCAGGGGGAAGTTGGTTTCTTTGTAGTGCTCAAGGGCATGTCCGTTCCCTCCGCTCCCATCAAAGAACCACTTCCCACAGAGGACAGAGCCATCCGTCAGGTTTAGCCACAGGTTCTCTCTCATTTCACACTTGGCGCACTTCCAGCCACTAATAGGACATAAACCATATTGAAGACACAAACAGGCAGGAGAGGAACTCCTCATATTTCAGTTCAGTTATGAGGCTATGTTACTCTATAATCCACTGACTATATGCTGTAAGCTTATCGTGTAGACCAAGACAGAGACCATTTCCAAAATATCAATATATCGGCTAGACCAGTCTTGGCCCATATTTGGCCATTTTGAGATTATCTGCCACATGGCTAAAGAAACCCCCTTTAGTGTTGTTGTTAACTAAAACTAATTGTTTTGGGCAATTGAAATGAAGTTGAACTATAATAAAAATATAAATATTAGATAAAAAACTTACAAAATCAAAGAAAATTTTGAAATAAATAAGTTTTAAGTTGAAGCACTAAAATTACTGAAACTGAAATGAATATAAACTAAAAGCTAAATAGAAATTTGAAAGAAAAAAAAACATAAAATCAATAAAACTAAACTAAACTAAAATATTAATAAATACAATAATCCTTTTGTGTCTGTTATTAAATTAAGCAACAACCTTGGCAATGGAAAATGCACATTTTCTCTTTTCAAGTTTATGGTTTTATAGTTTTAGGGTAAATATGGTAAACAACTGTTAATTTCATAAATTTTGCTATTTCACTACAATTAAACTACTATTTTTATATACCACATTATATTAGCCATCAGACACCCTTCTCTCTAGATATCAGCATCAGTATCATCATTTGAAAAGTTTTTTTTTTCATTTGAAACTGTCTAAACTGTTAAAGGGGTCATATGATGTTGCTAAAAAGAAAATTATTTGGTGTATTTGGTGTAATGAAATGTGTTTATGTGGTTTAAGGTTAAAAAAACACATTATTTTCCACATACTGTACATTATTGTTTCTCCTCTATGCCCCGCCTTTCTGAAACGCGTCGATTTTTACAAAGCTCATCGTCTGAAAAGCGAGGTGTGCTCTGATTGGCCAGCTATCCAGTGCGTTGTGATTGGCCGAATACCTCAAGCGTGTGACGGGAATGTTACGCCCCTACCATATTGTGATGCCCTGTCCGGCCGGAGCGACGAGACAATATCATTAAAACCCATTATAAACGAGGCATTTTTGCATCCAGTGGGTGTTCTAGTCGTGTCCTCTTTTGGAAGGCCAAACAAAGTAGTTTCGCTTTCACAACGCTCCCTTTCACAGTTCAATAGCAAGACATAAAGATTACGCAATACCAGTCAGTTTCCAATAATACAAAAAATCTGTTTATCTGCTCGGATCTCATTTCATCCCATGTAATTTCAATTAGAATAATTTAGCATTGGTTCCAAATGATCCAAATTACCTTTAAGCATTCCTTAGGAATATTTGTTTAGGGATATCGGTCAATCACTAATCTTTAATGTGGTTAACCAACAGCATGCATTGCCTCATACATGTCAAGACATTCTACTGGGTGTATTAATAAGTTATCCTAAACATATTCAAGCACTTATTCAAACATCAATAGCTTGTTTTGATATTAATCCACCTGGCAGAGAAAGCAGACATATCAGATTCAAGGGTGACCTGAAGCAAGCATCAGCAGTCTCTAGAATGCTAGTCCATGTGACTCTGGGCTCCCATGTGACCAACCTGGGAGGAATTCGAACCCCATTATCCTGCTGTCTCAGACTTCTGGCATGTCTAGATACTTGGATCTCCTCTTCCCATGAATCAGCCTCCTGCTTTTTGTATGGAGATGAAGCATTGAGGATGGCATCACAGGCTATTGTAACCTGAAAGTTAAAGGGACACGTGAACATTACATTGCTTAATGTGATATTGCACCTAATGAGTGCTTACGAAACCACAGCACGCTGGAAAGTGGTGCAGACTATTACTAATTAGATTTAAAAGCCTTGAAGCTCCTGGGCAGATAGGTTAGATAATGCATCTATTTTCAAGGTAATAAATATTAGGGCAGCAGCAGTAAGTAAGCACACCATGCAACTGACAAACACAAAAATGTGTTTAGTTGTGTGCTACTGTGTTGTATGAATAACTGAAGTACAACATAAACTGTAACAAATGAACCTTTTTGCATCATGTGTACTAAATGAACAAATATTGAGATATCTGTTTGTACACTACTGTTAAAGATTATGGGGTAGGTAAGATATTTTAATTCTTTTGATAAAAGTTTCTTATGCTCACAAAGGCGGCATTTTTTAAAACCAAAAATTAGAGTAAAAACTGTAATATTGTGAAATACTGTCACAATTTAAAATAAAAATTTTTTTCTTTAAATACATTATACAATATTTTTTTATTTCTGCATGGCAAAGCTGAATTTTCAGCAGTCATTACTCTAGTCTTTACTGTCACGTGATTATACTAATATGCTGATTTGCTGCTCAAGAAACTTTTTTATTATTATCAGTGTTGTGCTGCTTAATCATTTTGGGAAATTGTAATTCTTGATTAACACAAATTTTAATTTTTTTATTAAATCAGTTTGATTTGAAATAGAATTTTAATTTATAAACAACGTAAAAGACTTTACTATTACTTTTGATCAACTGAATGCGTTCTTGCTGGGGGAAAAAAAGTACACATTTCTTTCAATTGAAAAAATCTTACAGCTATTGACTCCAAACTTTTAAACGGTAGTTTATATTTTGAGAAATTCACAAACAGCCCTGTGGAAAATACATATTTTTTTATTTAAAATATTTGTGGTGAATTTTGAGTAAATTCTGTGTAAAATAAGCGTTTAATTTTCTATTTTATCTTTTTTTTTCTTTTGTTTGCTATCAATAAGATATTGTATGGTAAAATAGATCAATATTATAACAGCCATCAGCCAAATTGCTCTCTCGGTATCTTTGTTTACTCCTTTATCACTCTTAATATCTCAATCCGAGCAGCTGAGTCCTTAGCCATCTTCAAGAAACGACTAAAAACACATCTGTTCCACCTTTATTTGACCCTCTAACTCTAACACTTTCTATTCTATTTTAATTCTACTTTATCTATATTTATCTTTTTTTATTTTTTTTTATTCTTTATTTAAAAAAACAACAAAAAACAAACACTAGCTTTCTATTTTTTCTATTCTATCTACTTGTTTTTCTTTGTTTGTGTGTGTGTGTATATGTGTGTGTGTGTGTTTGTATAATATATATACCTTGCTACGTGTACTGCATTAGGCTAACCAAGACTTGTCATTTGCACTTATATATATTGTTGCTCTTTTGTTAGTTTTGACTGCTTTTATTGTCCTCATTTGTAAGTCGCTTTGGATAAAAGCGTCTGCTAAATGACTAAATGTAAATGTAAATGTAATATTTTCAAAAATATCAATAAAAACAGAAGACATGCTGTGTATTCAGGCAGCAATGACTGATAATTTTGCTTTAAACCAAAAATAATTATAAGAATTCAGATCTAATAAGAAATAAACTTGTTTTAAAAAAATCAAAATTAAATCGGTAAGACTAGGCCTGGGCGATGAAACGGTGTCGATATTTATCGACGGTACACCTTTTTCGATAACAATATAAAAAATGTTCGATATAGTGCACGATATAGGCACGTACTATGAGTGACGCAGACAGCACACACAAACATGAACACATGCTGAATTGAGTGCTGTGCCTGCCTGTGATGAGATTGTGAATAAAGAATGAATATTAGTCGAATTTAAAATAAACATTTGCATTTGAAAGCAAAAATAGTACAATCAAATGTTAGGTGTGCATCAGGGAGCGTCATCAGTGGCGCGCGAGATGCGGTGATGATGATGTAAGTGACGTTGTTGCATTTTAATGTTTTATAAGTCTAGCCCACGAGACGCGCAGTTGCTACGTTATGCATTCAAAATATTATAGAAATATAGTAGCTCAATGCAGAGAAGATCTTGATTAGGTTAAAACCGAAACCAAGCCATTCACACAGAACGCATATTCAGCGCATTTTCTAGATGGACAGATATGACTGCTGCACTTTTATCTCATGCAAGAGATGTAGCCATGCAAAGTTAAAACAGTTTAAACTCAGTAGAAAACACGTCGTGAATTTGTGGAGGTTTACTTCTTTTCATTGCATCTCTTATGTTTTTAAATGCAATCTGAGTGAATGGCGCTTCGGCTCTTTGTATTAAGCAATGCACAAATACATGATGCTGTTTTGTTCCTAGTTGTTTATGCAATTTACAAAATTAGATTTTATTTATATTATAAAATTATATTTTTATTTATTTATATGTTAATGTAGACGTAATGCACTTTTTTTTATAGACAGTTATTTCCTTGCGTTGACAATTTAAATGTGCTGCATTATTTTGCTCATTGCACCCTCCTGTGGCCTCGGGAGACAAGACAAAAGTTTCCTTAAGACCTATTTAATCTGCAAGACTATAAAACAAAAACTCATATTACTGCTACACCACATGACATCACTGCACACAATGAGAAGCATGAACAGTGAGTTTATAAAGTATAAGGTCATCTGCAGACAGAATATAATGTAATGACGTGATGTTTGACAAGCAAGCATTGAAACTGAAAATGCAGATCAGGCCTTTGGCATGCAGGGCACACAGGGCACATGAGCACACACTCTCACTAACCAGTGCGGGCAACTCCTCAATATTTGGTAAAGGGATCTCAAAGTGGTCTGGAAATATGACAAGCTTGGCCTCATCTTCATACTCATAATCAACTCCGTTAAAATCACGGTTTAGCTCTAAATCTTCAGGAAAGGAAGCAGAAAGAGATATTTTTTAATCGAGAGCTAATGGGATGACTGCACTCAAAACAAGTGCTTAAAATGTCCCCAAAAAATGAGTTAATAAACACATGATGAAATTGCACAAAACGTACACAATCAAAAATAGCTGTCTATTTTCATATTTATCTTTAGTATGTTTTGATGAAACATTTTCTTGAGCTCCCTTGATTGAACCAAAACATTAAAATTTGAGACTAGAATGTATATCAATGTCTAATAAAAGTGTATATTTCAGGGGCAGCAACTCTCATTTAGTCTTTTTCAGGTTTTTAACAACCTTTAAAATGGCTTATTTACACTTAAATGGTCCTGCAATGCAAATTTTTCGAATTTTCTCTGTAGTCTCTCAATCAAAATGAGGTTATGAAAACAGCTAGTTTTATTACTATAAAAGAATAATAAATGAATTTTATTAGTTTGAGTTTTATGATAACATGACTACGAAAACTGACGGACTGAAGAAAGTATTTGATTGCATATGTTTGCCCTCTAAGCCACTCCAAGCAGACATATCCGTAATAGAACAGTCTGAGTTGCCTAAATGACATATTTGGGAAAGCATTGTGGGTTTACAAAACGACTGGCATCCTTTCTGACGTATTGTCCTCAAACAGAGAAGGAGGCATGTATATTGATTGGATGCCTGAGAATAAGGGGCCGCCGGTCCCCCACCTGCTACGTCACACCTCCAATGGCAGAAGTGTGTCAGCTTGGGGGGTTGATAGGGCACAGCAGCTGACAGGCATAGTCGGCCACTGTAAACCAATGAGACTGCAAAACATATAAATATATGGCTTATAAAAAAGGATTTGAGGTAGAAGTTTCAGCCTGGGATTTTTTATTTTTTTTTTACTTTAAAACATACTTACCTAAAAATACTTTTCCATTCCTTCTTCTTGGTGTGGCACCCCCTGCAGCACCTGTGGCTTTCTGTAATTAACATCAGGAAACAACATGGGTCATAAAACTGTAAAGTGCTTTGTACTCAAATATTTTACGTGGTATTAGTATGTGATGTGGATATTTTCAGTATTTATAAGCAGCGCTGACAGTATTCTGTTTGTATGTTTGTTGTAGTTTAATTTAGTTTCTGTGTTTTGAAAATGTAATAAAAGAAAATCAAAAAAGGAAACAACATGGATAATAATGCCACATGTAACTGAACATCTGTACTGAACAACAAATATTACTGAATCATGTTGCAAATTTGGATAAAATCCAATTGATGTGCATATGAAAGCTTGACAGATGGGAATGATTGTTCTGTACAAAGCACATAATGGTCAAATCAGTTGATTGTAGAGTAAACGACTGAATGGATAATGGTGACACACTTCTCATGTAATTCCAAGTATAAACAGCAAACACAAAAGCTACAGGAACAGGGCTGGCTGTTTCTGGACAGATCCAGACATGAAAATAGCAGCATTTAACCAGCACATCCACATTCACTTGGAATGAACAAGAAACCATTAAATAATTACGTTCCTATTCTAAATGACCAACAAATCAGTCGTGATTAGGCAAATGTATAGGAGCAGGCTGGGATTCAGTAGAACTGCTAAGACAATAACTTAAAGCAGAACTATGTAACTTTTTCTGTGTTCAAAATTTGCAAAATGTATATATTGAGCGAGTACATCATGAATTCATCTTCCAAACCGCGTTTTTGTCTTATTCCGAATCACTACGGTACACTTATAATAAGTACTTATATTTGGACTATTGTAGCCTGTTCGGGTCGTCACCGCTGCGGAGTAACACATACCTGCGTGAATCGCCATAAACATAAACTTAGAGAAGTAGCTCCGGTTGGAATGTTCTTCCGCGGGATGTGTGCAGTTCTGTTTATTAACCGCTAGAGCGCCAAAAGTTACATAGTGCTGCTTTAACATCTGAAGATTTCAAATCTATCATATTGAATTCAGTACATATGGTGAAAAACAATATAAAACGGTGTTTTAAATAATACAGCACAGTTCATTTATCTTCTCTGTGTACCATGCTGTTTATGTTTATCTACCATGCTGTCTAGTTATGCTGTTCTTAGAAAATAATTGACATGTCACTCAGTTTGTGAAAAAGCTCAGAAAATACATTTACTGTAATTACTGTAAATATCCAGATATTCTTTTAATGTGCTTTTTCTTGCTGACATTTCCCAAGAGGGTTAGTGCAGTAGACACATGCTGGGCTCATCACTTATACGCCAAAATGTCAAAACCACCCTCTGAACTACCGAATTCTTTCTAAATTTGTGCAGAAGAACTGCCACAATGCAAGATTAAAACCATAACATTCAAAGATGCTTTCAAAAAAGTCATAGCTCTGGAGATTCACCTCTAAATTTTCTAAATCCAACAGCTGCTATGCAATCTTCATGAATTGTGAAAATTTAGGTATAGCAGATGTCTAAAACATGAAGAAGAGGCAGGCGAAAACCATCTGCAAGAAACTGAACTCACAATGAAGAGTGAAAAACATACCTCTCATTAAGTAATCAACTCAATACTCTTAGCTGCTTTCTAAATCCAACAGTCATCAATGTCTGCTACATCTTTCCGCATTTTTGGAAGTAAAAATAAAAGAGGACAAATCAAAAGGATGTGACCTCAATAAGCTACACACACTGTCTGCAACAACTCATTGATAAAATCGATAATGATAATATTTGACAACTAATTTGATTAGCGATTAATTGTGCCTATGCACTATGCGCAGAAAACAAATTCTAAAATTAAAATCTACATGTAACACAAGTAATTTTATTTTTTATGAGAGTATTAACAATAAAGAACTACTATAATTGAATATAAATGTAATATGTTCAGATGAGTGAATGTGTGTTCCTCTTACTTCATACCAGGTTTAGTCTTTGCTTTTTGTTTTTCTTTATTATCATTTTTAATTCAGTTATTGTAACTACTTTCAAATAGTAATCAATCGGTTTAATTTTTGCATATAAAGTTTAATTGCCTACATAGATACACTCAATATATTTGTTTTCATTGCCTTCAAATTTCACATTGTTTAGAGGACAATGTTGATGGGAACGTGAAAGAACAATTTTGTAAATAATGGATTAAAAATTTTTTTTTCTCATCCAATTAATCAACAATGTAGCTGTCAAACTAATCAATAGTCAATATAATCATTAGCTGCTACATACATAGTCCCAGTAGCCTAATAAGCACATCCACATTGAATCTGCTGACAAAAGTTCAAAGAAAGCTCCACAGATCCACACGTCATTCACGATCCACACATCCTCCACCCCTTGCATGTTTAATAAGTATTATTGCTAATTTGAAAATGCTTTGCAATACATGTTTAGTATTGTTGGCCTTATTTAGCACAACTTATCATACTTAAAGCTTTTCCACAGATTTCCTCTTAAAGTCAGCGCAGTCAGTGCATTCTGCAGATTCTAACTTGACCCAACAAGACACTGGCCTCATCTACTCTGAAAAAGTTTACTCATTAATGATATTATTCACTGGCACCTTACGTTTATGTTAATGCTTTTGTTATGTTACTGGATGCACTGAATCTGTTTGCACTCAAAAAATTAAGTCAAGAGTGTCAATTGCAAATTAAGTTAATTCCAGTGAGCAGACAAAAGTTCTTCATCAAGACAGACATTAATAGGAAACCATCGTCAACAAGTACTGCACTACATTACAACAATGATCATTAAATATTACTTTGTCTCTTTTGCTTTCTTTGTGTTGTTGGATACCACTCAGTAGGTTTATATAACACATTCAATATGTACAGGTTCCTTTAGAGTGTAGAATGAAACTTTTTCTATGACGTTTGCAAAGATTTCAATCCAACAATAAGCTTGAAAAAAGTTTTGTCACTCTTCTTACCTCTTTCACATGTCGTTTTAAGTGCATGTACACGCTCTGTCCAGTTTTATGGTAATGTCTCTCCACATGTTCTCTTCCGAAACCCAGGAATGAGTTCATACACACATACAGACCTCCTTCTGATTCCTAAAAAAAGTGATGAAACAAGATTTAAGCTAAGACAAATGTGGCCAAGTAATTTTATACTTCATATTAAATGTAAATAATTATATTAAGTTACATTTACAAAACAAATGTGAACAAAACTGCTATTAGAGAGTGTTCAAGTCATAAACATCATCAACATACAAACACATGAAAAGAGGAAACACTTTAACGTAGCAGAACATAATCGAAAACACCTGCATCGAACAGTCTAGGGCTTTACTGAATTGTAATGCAGAGTATCTGCTCTGTGTTATTAGAAATAAAATTATTAGACATAAAAGTAAAATTATAAATAAACCTAAAATTGCATAATGCTCAGAATTTTGCCTTTTACTTTTATCATTTAAATTACTACAGTAATGGTGCTCTTTTTTGTTGCTGTACATGTTTTCAGGCATATATTGCCATAACATGGCTTTTTGGACATGTGTCATGATATATACGTTTGGTTATCAAGATCATTCACATAATTTATAATTGCATAATGCTTGTTTATGTACAGTGGGTAACACTCAGTGATTCTGTTTTTATTTTTTTCAGACTTGTTGGTGTTATATCTTTCACATGGATGTTATATAACAGTAAATACAGCTTGATAAAACAAAAACCGTGTTCATCTTCATTTCAGGCTGCAAAGCAACAAAATGTGATTATTTTAAAGGAGGGTGATTCTTTTCTATACCCACTGTAAGTTATCAAGGTTGTTTTCAGTACTGTTTTGTTCATTTTAAATTGAAAAATTCATATAAAACAATAAGAGTAATACAATAATACAAGAGTAATACAATAAGAGTTAGTGATACAGAATAAACAAATAAGAAGTTTAATCTGGATCAAAACACTGAATTGCAGGGCCGGTGTTTGTAGGTTAGGGTGTTGAGGTCTCACCAGACTGAAAAAACCTGTCACTAGCTCCTGGTGACACACAAGCTTGAACAGATAGTGTGTAAAAATAACCTGTCTTTTAGTCTGACATATGGAACTCCAAACAGCTGAGTCACCTTTAAAACTGTTAGATCTGTTAGCTAGTTGTGCACTTTACCCACATTTATTTAAATATTCCCATCAATGCTTAAAAGAAATACATGGTATTCTATATATTATTTGTGGTCAGAGCTTGTACTCTTGAGTATGTATAACAGCCCACACTGATCTGGATTCTTTTTATAGCTCATAGCTGCTTACTGCTTATTAAGTGTACATTTAGGAAATCAGTTTTCACATATATCAAGCTACACAACAGTCGTTAGTCTCTTGATGTCAAGCAAATATCATAATGTACAGTATGATCTCAACAAGTAGCCTAGCTATCACACTACTAGATTGCCAATGTTGATGAGAGGATGTCAAACGCCTAAGAACGGGGGAAATAATGATTGCTTTGACACGCCTTTAAAAACAGAGGACAGAAATTCTCTGTAATAAAGACTAGCGTTCAGACTTGCAGTGTTTATGCTACCATTACATTTGGAGCTCGTATAGCGCCATTTAAAGTAAGGAAACCTGGTCCCACTGTACGATGTAAACACCCGTGTGGTATTTATTTATTTCTGAAGGCTGTCACACAAGTTGAGCTGGAGAATGGTGGCCGAGGATCCCCCATCTCTCTTACGCGCCATACGCAGCTTTTCACGTGTCTGGGGGACGCCAGTTGTAGTTTAACGTTCATGCATTAAGTATTTGACATAATACTCACAGGAGAGTCGTAGGAAAATGCGCATTCGCTCTTGAAAACCCTGTCTCCTGTCCTTGGTACTCTAATGGTGGGCATGTTTTAAATCATACAGACCCTACATTCCTCATGGACCGAGGGATGTGACGACGAAAACATTGGAACATTGCGGGATGGAGGGTGGTGTCTGGTGTGTTGGGGGGTTAGGGGAGGGAGACAATGGGTGTCCCCTTGGAGAAACAGGCAATATTTGACATTATTCACCCTGACGCCAAGTGGTGGCGTTTTCAGAGCTTATAACGGCTGTGGCATGTAGTGTACTTCAATACAGAACAACTTAACGTTATCTTTTTTATTTTATCTTTTAACTAGCAAATTAGTTTTCTGAAATATTATATGTATTATGTTGTCTTAATTATCATTATTGTTTTATTATTTCCGATTTTTGTTATGCATAAAATTTTATGCTCTTCCTCTTTTATTATAAAATAGGTTTCATCTTTAATCTAATGTTATATTAATTCAGATATGTTTACATGTTGTCATGATAAGTACTTGATTGTTTTTTTGAAAGGTGCTATACCAACGATTATGTAAAATTTTAATTTACATTATTTGCTAGCTGATTATCTATGCAATGCATCATTTAATCTACACTAAATCACTTTTCTTTTAATAATAATAATAATATGTTCTCAATTTTTTATTTTAATTGTATTAATTAAAACATAAAATATATTGAAACTCATGTTTTAGACTGACATATTAAAAGACAATAGACTGATATACAGTAGTTCGGCTGTTTGCTTGGAATAATTTACAAACTGAAATTTTACTTTATTCACAGTTCTGAAACTATCTTTTAATTTACATAAGCTCCTGATGTAGTACTTCAACACTTTACTATTACTACGATTACGGTTACTGGAAATTTCCAATTTTAGTGTGGCTTGACTGCAATAATACAAATATTTTTTATAATAACTAGGTTTTGATTCCAATTGTTTTTGGTGGCATTTGCTAACTTGCAAAAAAAAACATGACTTTAACACTTCCGTGGAACACAAAATAAAAAATTATGAACCATTTGGTTGGTTGGATCTTTTTCATGTAATTATAAAGAATGAAGACAGCAGCTTTCAAGCTTCTATATGCATAAAAGCATAATAAAAGTAGTCAGTATGTGCTGTATTCTGAATCTTCTTAACCTATTCAATAGATTTGTGCATTGAACAGTCTGAAATGAATAAATTATGAAAGAATTTATTTCATTTCAAGGATACACAAGAGCAGTGACTTAGTTATAATCATTAGTTTATTGGTGCCAGAGGCAAAGCAAAGGGGAAAAAAGAAACAATATATTTTTTATTAATAACAATACATTATACATTGTATAATGCCTGAATATTTTGGACAGGTATGCATGACCACTCCTAGTTATCAGGGGATGACTTGGGGCTGTGGTCGATGAGATTCTTATCAAGTGTCTGAATCTGAAACCAGGGTCCATCTCCTTTTTCTCTCATGTGTCGGCGGACTTCAAGTTGTAGTTGTCTACAAGAAAAATAGGGGATAATAAATTAGAGATCATCAATTAGGCTACATAAAAACAAGATACATTTCTGTAGGTAGTCTACACAAAGCACCTTTGTTGTTGTGGTACTGGCAATAAATTGTATTCCAAGGTTCGACAATTCCTTCAATATTTTTTACCCTACAGAAGTTTTTGCTCTTTTTTTATCGAATCTCCTAGTGCATGGTTTATTAATGATATGTGACCCTGGACCACAAAACCAGTCTTAAATTGCTGGGGTATATTGTAGCAATGGCCAAAAATACATTGTATGGGTCAAAATTATAAATTTTTCTTTTATGCCAAAAATCATTAGGGTATTAAGTAAAGATCATGTTCCATGAAGATATTTTGTAAATGTCCTACTGTAAATATATTAAAACTTAATTTTTGATTAGTAATATGCATTGCTAAGAACATCATTTGGACAACTTTAAAGGTGATTTTCTCAATATTTCGATTTTTTTGCACCCTCAGATTCCAGATTTTCAAATAGTTGTATCTCGGCCAAATATTGTCCTATCATAACAAACCATGCATCAATGGAAAGCTTATTTATTATGACTGGTTTTGTGGTCCAGGGTCACATATTAATGATAATTTCTTTACTTGAAGGCACCTCACACTTGAAATGAACCTACATAAACATAAACCTTCGTAAACAAATTAAAAAGTCCTAAATGACTGTAAAGAGTTGGGAGAAAATCGGATGCGTGTCAGGTTTTAAAGAGGCAGCGCTGCTTTTAAAATGAAATCTGATGAAGCCTGTCACTGATGTAAATCACAGAACAAAAGAAAACGAGAAATCACTGGACTGCTCTAGTCGCTGATTAACTTTTGTAGCTTGAATAAAGATTAATCTATATAGTTTATGCATATACAATTTAGCGTTTATGTGAAGATTGTTTTAAGTTCACTTAAATTAAAAGTTGTTATATTTTTCAGAGCCTATTAAAATGTTAAAAATAATGGCTCTCAATTATACTGAAAAAATGTGTGATTAATTAGTTAATTTTTGAGAGATCTGCCAAAACTGATGCCTGTCAGCAATAAAAGTTGAGTGTGAAAATTAAGGACACACATGAATACCACCTATCCTTATATTACATATAATAAATAAAAAGATTTTACAGTAAGGTCCCATTTTGTTAAAGGGACCATTCCAAAATGAAAATGTCATCATCATTTGCTCACCCTAAAGTTGTTCCAAATCTGTATGAACTTCTTTCTTCTTCTGAAAACAAAAGAAGATTGAAGAATTTGGCTAACCAAACAGTTCCCTTTTTTTTTTTTTTTTTTACATAAGGTCAATGGGGACCAGCAAGTGTTTGGTTATCAACATTCTTCAAAATATCTTCATTTGTGTTGAGCAGAATGAAGAAATTCATTCAGGTTTGGAACAACTTTAGGGTGAGTGAAATTACACAATTTTCATTTTTGGGGTGAACTATCCCTTTAAATCACTTAACCCTTGTGTGGTGTTCATATTTTTGTTACTCAGCCAGTGTTCTTGGGTCTGGTGGACCCGCTGCAGTTTTGGGTTTTTAATTCAACACAATCAAAAATTATATGTTAAAATACTCAACAGATGTTTACGTCATCCCAATTACAAGCAATATAAACAGCATATATAGTCAAAATTTGCCCTTTACATTTGTTAGATCACATTTATGAATTAAAGTGCTACAACCTTGTGCGGGAATGGCAGGGGCAGAAACACAAAACTCACACTTACACTCACACTCTTATAGACTCTCTCTCTCACACACACACACACACATAAACACACATACACATAAACACACATACACATACTAATAGCAGGCCCAGACAATAGGAGGACAGAGTAAATGTACACAGGACGTAAAATGTCCACTCTTTTATTAGCCCCAAACATCCTGTATGTAATATAAATGTGTGTGTGGGGGGGTTGTACAGTGATTGGTCATTGAAAATTTGTTCTGATATATGTTCTTCATTTGATAAAAAGTGAAAACGGGACCCACAGACCCGAACACCATACAAGGGTTAATGCATTAATTAACAATGACCAATCCATTTGTTACAGTATGTACTAATCTTTGTTAATGTTAGCTAGTTAGTTAGTTAAATACAGCCGTAGATGCAACTTTTGATTTTAATAATGTATTAGTAAATGTTGAAATTAACCTCAACTAAGATTAATAAATGTATCAGAAGTATTTTTCATTGTTAATTAATGTTTGCTAATGTACGTAAAGGAATATTTCACCCAAAAATGAAAATCTGCTGAAAATTTACCTCATGCCATTCAAGATGTAGATGAGTTTGTTTATCGGAACAGATTTGGAGAAATTTAGCTCTATATCACTTGCTCACCCATGGATCGGATGACATTTAGGGTTGCAAAGGGGTGGAAAATTTCCGGTAAGTTTCTGGAAACTTTCCAAAAATCCCTGGAATATTCCCAAAAAATCCTGGAAAGTTTCCAAAATTTCTGGAATGTTTCCTAAATTTACTGGAAATTTTCCACCTTTTTGCAACCCTAATGCCATTAGAATGAAAGACCAAACAGCTGATAAAAAAATAAACATTTTTTTTTTTAAATCACAATAATCTGACACCAGTACACCAATTTACACCCTGTGAAGTCAAAAACTGTGTGTTTAAAAGAAACAAATCCATCATTAAGGCTTTTTTTACTTTAAACTGTCGCTTCTGGCCAAAATATCAGTCCATAATCACGCTTCCTCCATTAAAAAAAAAAAAAAAAAACCTCTGTGCACATTTCTCTCTTCATTCAGACGGAACAACTTTTTCACTAGAGAAAGCAATATTATGAATGGAGGATTCAATTTTTTTTGCTGGAAACAGCGGTTAAAGTTAAAAACATCTCATTGATGGATTTTTTTTATTATAAGTACAGCTTTTTATTTCACAAAACATTAATGATGGACTGGAGTTGTGTGGATTATTGTGATGTTTTTATGTTGTTTGAACTCTTAATCTGACGGCACCCATTCACTGCAGAGGATCCATTGGTGAACAAGTGATGAAATACAACTAATGTACATTTTGGATGGACTGAGAGTAAGTGCATTTTCAGTAAATTTTCATTTTTGGATATACTATTTCTTTAACTAATGTTAACAAATGAAATTTTTTTGTAAAATGTTGCCAAATATTTAAGAAAATATAACCCCAATTCCTAAATGGAAATAACAAGGACATGTAATTTCTCATTGAGCTCAAGTAGTTGAATCACACGAAGACAGCTTACCTCATTTCAGCCTTCTCTGCCTCAATATGGATAAGTGCCATCATTTTCTCATAGTCCTTCACTGGGCTGTCATAAAAGGTACGAGCAATCCAACGGGTGATGGGATGCTAAGATATTATGAAGACAACCAATGAAAGGAAAGACAAAAAGCATTATGACAGCAGCTACACAATTTTAAAAAAATTATTCGATTAACAATGGCCAATTTTCTTCTGGCAAATACTGTGTATTTAATGTTTTATTCACTTAAATATCAGAATACCTTGT